TTGTTTTGTAGGTTCTGTACTTTGAAGTGTTTGCTACATAGTGGTACTTGGTTTTTATTGTTTTGTATTTGAGAATTGTGTTTGGCACCCACTGGTATTGTAGTTTTTTTGGTTTTGTGGGTATTGTATTTTTGAAAACACAAATTCCAGTGGGTACCAACCCCACTGGAATTTGCGTTTTCATAGTTTTGTGGGTTTTGTATTGGTGGAATTAGTTTGGTAAACACTGGTATTTGAGTATTTATGGCTTTGTGGGTTTTGTGCTTGTGGAGTGTGTTTAGTGCCACTGGTATTTTGGTTTTTATGGCTTTGTAGGTTATGTATTTTTTGAAGTGTGTTTGGTCACTTACTGGTAAATGGGTTTTTATGGTTTTGTGTGTTCTGTACTGGTAGAGTGAGTTTGGTACGGCTAGTATTTGGGTTTTCATGTTTTTGGGGATTTTCTACTTGTAGAAAGCCTGTGGGTACCCACTGGTATTTAGGTTTCCATGGTTTTGTTGGTTCTGTACTTGGTACCTACTGGTATTAGATTTTTATAGTTTTGTGGGTTCCGTACTTGTGCAGTGTGTCTAGTACACACTGATTATGGTTTTAATGGCTATGTGGGTGCTGTACTTTACAGTGTATTTGGTACCCACTGGTATTTGCATTTAAATGGGTCTTTGAGTTCTGTATTTGTGAAGTTTTTTGGATATGCAGTGGTATTTGGTTTTTAATGGTTTTGTTGATTTTGTACCGGTGAATGGTGTTTTGTACCCACTAGTATTTGGGTTTTATGGGGTTTTGGGTTCTGCATTTGAGGAGTGCTTTAGTACCCATTGGTATTTCGGTTTTTATGGATTTATCGATTATGTATTTGTGGAGTGTGTATGGTATCCAATGGTATTGGGGTTTTCATGGTTTTGTAGTTTCTGTATTTGTGGTGTGTTTGGTACTTACTGGTGGAGTTTTTATGGTTTTGTGGGTTCTGTACTTTGAATTGTTTTTGGCACCCACTGGTATTTGGTTTTTTATGGCTTTGTGGGTTTTTGTATTGGTGAAGTGTGTTTATTATTCACTGGTATTGGGGTTTTCATGGTTTTGTGGGTTATGTATTTCTGGTGGTTTAGTACCAACTTGTATTTGGGTTTTCATGGTATTGTATTTTTGAATGTCTTAGATACCCACAGGTATTAAGGTTTTGTGGGTTATGTATATGTGGAGTGAGTTTGTTACCCACTGGTATGTAGGTTTTAATTGTGGAGTGTTTTTTGTGCTGACTGGTATTTTGGTATTTATGGTTTTGTGGGCTCTATATTTGTAAAGTGTGTTTAGAACCCACTGGCATTTGGGTTTTCATGTTTCTGTGTCAGTATTTGTGGAGTGTTTGGTACCCACTGGCATTGGGATTTTTATGGTTTTGTGGATTCTGTACTGGTGGAGTGTTTTGGTACCCACAGTTAGATTTTTATCGGTTTTTTGGATTCTGTACTTGTTGAGTGTGCTTAATACTGCAGTTACTGCTTTTAGGGTTTTTATGGTTTTGTGGGTTTTCTAGTTGTAGAGTGTACTTGGTACCCCTGGTTTTTGGGTTAAGATGGTTTTGTGGATTCTGTACATGTGGAGTAAATTTTGTACCGGTTAGTATTTAGGTTTTCATGGTTTTGTGGGTTTTGTATTTGTAATGTGTGTTTGGTGCCTACTAGCATTTGGTTTAAATAGTTCTATGGATTTTGTAGATCTTAAGTATGCTTGGGTACCCTCTGATATATGGGTTGTTACAGTTTTGTGGTTTCTGTTCTTGTGGAGTGTGCTTAGTAATTGGGTTGTCATTGTTTCGTTTGTTCTGTATTTATGATGTGTTTGGTACCCACTGGTATTTGGGTCTTTATGGTTTTGTGGGTCCTGTACTTGTGGAGTGTACCAAATGGTGTTTTGGTTTTAATTGTAATATGGGTTTTGTACTTGTATGTGTTTGATACCCACTATTATTTTGGTTTTTATGGTTTTGTACCTGTGCAGTGTGCTTGTTACCCACTGGTATTTGGTTAACATGGTTTTGTTGGTTTAATGTGTCATAAACTACTAAATTGTTAGTATTTGATTCCTTTTTTCCCGGTTTCATAGTATTGTTTACCAGAAGTAATTGATCAGACTGAGTTCATTTGAGGTTCTATGGACTCTGAAATGAGGTTTTATGTTCCCCCGAGTTCTCATAATTTTTTCCTTTCTCAATTTAGAGTATAGTTGAAAACACCATTAGTGATTAATCAGGGTGGGTTTTTTGTTTGAGATTGATTTTTCAAATGATCTTAAACATCAAACTACCTTTTCACTGTTTGTTTTTTTTACATTTTTATAGCACAGTATACAGCAGGAGGAACTGATCTGAAATTGTTAATTTAAGGATATAGTGACTTCTCATGATTTGTTTCTTATTCTCACTTTCATAGTATAGTTTATGCCAGAATTGACTCATCAACCTGGGTGCTTATCATTTGCAATTGCTTTTAGAAAGACACTTTATGTACTACTTCTCATTTTTTGTTTCTTTTTTACTCTCATAGTACAGTTAGTAACAGGAATGACTGATCAGAATGAGTTTTTATCAATTGAGGTTGGCTTAAGAAATGATGTTTTATGTTTTACTGACTTCTAACTATTAGTTTCTTTTTTCTTAGTTTCATAGCATAGTTCTTACCAAAAGTGACTTATAAGACCGAGTTCTTTTCATTTGAAGTTGGTTTCAAAATAACGGTTTTTGTAATACTGACTTTTTACTATTTGTTTTTCCCCATTTCATAGTATTGTTTAAAACACCAGAAGAGACTCATCAGACTGAGTGCTTATCATTTGTAATTGGTTTTAAAAGGCTTTATGTGGTACTTCTCATTTTTTGTTTTACTTACAAAGTATAGTTTGTACCAAAAGTGATTGATAAAACTGAGTTCTTATCATTTGAGTGTAGTTTTAAAATGTTTTATGTACTACACACTTTTGACTGTGTTTCTTCTTTTCTCACCTTTATAGTAGAGTTCATATCAAGTGACAGATCAAACTCAGATCTTATGATATGAATTTGGTTGCAAAATAATGGTTCTTGTATAATTGACTTTTGACTATTTGTTTTCTTTCTCAATTTCATAACATTGTTTAAAATACAGGCTGATCAGCCTAAGTTATTGATAACTTAAGTTTTGTTTTAAAATGTTGACGTACTACTCACTCTGGTTGTGTTTCTTTTCTCAGTTTCAGAATATAGTTTAAAATTTTCAGAATATAGTTTAAAATACCCGACGAGACTCGTCAGACTGACTGCATATTATTTGCAATTGGTTTTAAAAGGCATTATGTACTCCTCATTTTTTGATTCTTTTTTTACTTCCATAGTATAGTTAATAGAAGAAGTGACTGATGAAACTCAGTTCGTAAGTAATTTTTTTGGTTTAAAAAATTGGTTCTTGTACCACTGACTCCTCACTATTTCGTTTATCTTTTCTCAGTTTCATAGTAGAGTTTAAAATACCAGAAGTGACTAATCAGATTTAGTTTTTGAAATATCTTGTTTTCTCTTCTCAGTTTTGTGATATAGTTTATACCAACAGTGAATAATCAGACTTAGTTTTTATCATTTAAGTTTGTTCTTAGAGTGATCTTTCATTTATTGTTTCTTCTCTCAATTCATTGTATTGTTAGACACTAGGAGTGACTGATCAGAGTAGTTCATATCATTCTAGGTTGGCTCTGAAATAATGTGTAATGTTCTTTTCTGTTCTCACAACTTGTTTTCTCTTACTTTCATAAACTGATCAGCAACTGCTCGTATTTGAACTAAAAGTTTAAAATACCAGGAGTGACGAATCAGTCCTCACCTGAGTTCTTATCATTTTCACCTGAGTTCTTATCATTTGAGGTTAGTTTTCAAAATAATGCTTATTGTTTTACAGATTTCTCACTTATTGTTTTTTCTTTTCTCAGTTTTATAGTATAGTTTATACAAGGAGAGTCTCATATCACTTATGAGATGACTCCCATGCTTTCCTTAGTATATCTAGTGGTCCTTGAACCTCTTGACTAAACAATAGTGCAAAGCGACAGAAACCAGTATTGTCTTGTAGCACTTCTCAAAAAGCAGGAAACAAAGGGTATCGAATCAATTTACGACACTTTTAGGGTAGTACCAGTTGATCAAAAGTGGTCTCATTACCTTGACGGGGAGGCGTCTAGCATCTCATGATTAGACTATTGCTAACTTAGTTTCATCCTTTTCATTTGGTTTTAGAGATGTTTAGTTTAATACTTATTTCTCAGTATTTGTTTCTTTTGTCATTTTTATATAATTAAAAATATTGGAAGTGAAAGATCAGATTGAGTAATTTTTTGAAATCATGTTTTATGTACAATTAACTCCTTAGTATTTGATTCTTTTTTCTCGCTTCCATAGTGTAGTTTATACCAGCAGTGACTTATGAGACTGATTTTTGTCATTTGAATTAGGTTTTGAAATTGTTTCAAGTCCTACTCTACTTTGACTATTTTTTCTTTTCTCTCCTTCATAGTACAGTGTAAAATACTAGGAGTGACTGCTGAGATTGAGTTATTATTTGAGGTTGGTATTTCAAATAATGTTTCATGTTTTACCACTGTTCGATTCTTTTTTCTCTGTTTTATAGTATAGTTTAGACATGCTACTATTTAATTTTCTCATTTAGCTTTATAGTGTCGTTTATGGATCGGATCATTTTAAATTCTGCTTACTTTAAATTGGTTTTTAAATGATGGTTCGTTTTGATATTCGTTTGATATTCGTTTCCTTTCTCAGTTTCATTATACACTTAGTTTTCATCATTAAATTTTCGTTTTAAAATTATGTTTTGTGTCCTACATACTTTTGGCTATTGTTTTCTTCTTTTGTCAGTTTCTTATAGCATAATTAAGGAGAGACTGATCAAATCGAGTCCTCATCATTTGAAGTTGGCTTCTAACATAATGTTTTGTTCGTGTAAGTTATCATTTGGTTCTTCTTTTCTTAATTTGACGGTATGTTGTTTACATTACCAGAAGTGACTGACTACACTGAGTTAATATTAGATTGGTTTTTAATGTTGTATGTCAGATTTATTTCTCACTCTTTGTTTTATCTCAATTTTATAGATATAGTTTTTAATATTTGAAGTAAATGATCACACCGAGTTCTTATATTTTAATTTGTTTATAAAATGATTTTTCTTGTTTTACAGACTTCTCACTATTTGTTTCTCTTTTCTTAGTTTCATAGCATAGTTTATACCAGTAGTTTCTGATGAGACAGTTTCTATGATTTAAGTTTTGTTTTTGAAATGATGTCATGAACAACTTATTTCTCAGTATTTGTTTTTCCCTTCTCAGTTTAATAGTATATTTTAAAATACCAGAAGCGACATATTAGAAAGTTTTTATGATTTTACATGGGGTTCTGAAATGACTTTTTGTTTGTCAACATTTTTAGTATCTGTGTCTTTTCTTTATTTATGGTATATTTTAAAATGCAAGAAGTCACTGATAAGACAGTTGCTTTTACTTAACTTTGACTCTGATTTATGTTATGTTCTTTTGAGATCTCACTATTTCTGTCTGCTTTTTTCACCTTCATAGTATCTTTTATACCGGGAGTAACTTTTGAGACTGAGTTCTTATCAGTTGAGTCTGTTTTTAAAATGTTTTATTTTGTACTGACTTCTGACTACTTGTCTGTTCTTGACTGAGTCTCATATTAAAATAACAGGAGTGACTGATCAGATTGAGTTCTTGTTGTCTAACGTTTTGGTTTCTAAAACTTCGTTCCAATGTTGTAGTGACTTCTCACTATTTTTTTTCCTTATATTTATAGCAGAGTTTAAAATACCAGAACTGACTGATCAAACTCAGTTTATATCATTTGAAATGGGTTTTAAAATGATGTTTCATGTACTATCTACTTGTGAATGTTTGTTTCTTGCTTTTATAGTATGGTTTATACCAAGACCAACTGATGAGACAGAGTTATTAAAATTTATTTGAGTTTGGTTTTATAATGATGTTTCATGTCGTACTCACTCTTGACAATTTGTATCTTTTCTCAATTTTTGAATTAGTTGAAAATACCAGGAGTGACTTTTCAGATTCAGTTATTATTTGAGATCCCTTTTTGAAATCATGTGCCCTATTGATACTGTCTTCTCACTGTTTCTTGTTTTTGTCAGATTCAAAGTAATAGTGTAAACAAGGAGTGACAGATCAGACTTATATTTTATCCTTTTTGTTTGGTTTTAGAATTTCTTAGCATTTGTTACTTATTTTTTAGGTTAAATGTATTGTTTTTATAACAGAAGTGACCAAGTCAAGTTCTTAATATTTATAATTGGTTTAAGTGATAAATTATGTACTACTACTTTTCACTATTTTTTTGCCTATTCTAGTAGCTCAATATAGTTGAACGACTGATCAGAATGAGTTCTTATCATTTACGGTTAGTTTCAAATGGTGTTTTATTTACAAGTGACTCAGTACCTGTTCCTTTTTTCTCAGTGTTATACAGCGAGTGACTGATCAGGCTGAAATGTTGTCATTTGAGTTTGGTTTTAAATGTTTTAGGTAGTACGTCTTACAATTTGTTTAGTTTTATAGTACAGTTTAAAATGCCAGAAGTGACTCAACAGACAGTTCTTTTCATTGAAGTTCGCTTTGTTCAATGTTTCATGCTACACTTTACTTATTGTTTCTTTTTCAGTTATATAATATAGTATGGTGTATACTAGGAATGCATGATCAGACTGAGTTTTATTATGAGAGGTTTTTTGTAAAATGTTATATGTCCTACTCACTTTTGACAATTTCCCTCCTGTTTTCTCAGTTTCACAGTGTTGTTAAAAATAAGAAGAGTGACTGATCAGAATGAGTTATTATTTGAGGTTGGTTTCTGAAATGATAGTTTACGTTGTACTGACTTCTCGTTTATTGTTTACTCTGTTTTCAGTTTCATAGTATAGTTTATAACAGGAGTGACAGATCAGACTTAGTTTTGTCCGCATAGTTAAAGTTTTAAATTGTTTTCATTTATTAGTATTTTGTTTCTTCTTTTTTTTGATACTGAGAATTTTTAAAATGACGTATCATTTCCTACTCACATATTACTCAGCTGTTTTCTCACTTTCATGATTCAGACTATGAGTGACTAGTCAGACTTTGTATCACTTAATTTTGGTCATAAAATGATATTTCATTTCCTAACTTTTCACTATTCGTTCCTTCTTTTCTCAGAATTATAGAATAGTTTTACTAGGAATAACTGATCAGATTAAGTCCTTATCATTTGAGGTTTGATTCTAAAATATTTTAGGTTCTTAGTTCTCAATTTTTGTTTTTTTTGAATTGCATAATATAGTTTAGATTACTAGAAGTCACTGATTACATTGAGCTATTATTGGATTTTAAATTTGTTTTGAAATGATGGTTTAAGTACTATTCATTTCTTAGAATATGTTTTTTCTCAGTTTAGTAGTTTATTTTAAATTATCAAAATAACTCACACCGAGTCTTATAACTAATGTGAATTCACGAATAATAAGTGATGTTCTTTGTTCTCACTATTGATTTCTCGTTAGTTTTACAAATGTTTTGTTGTACTGACTTCTCACTATTTCTTCTCCTCATTTTTATAGTCTAGTTTAAATTACCAGAAGTGACTGATCACATGGAATTCTTACTAATTGAGTTGGATTTGAAATAATTTCTCCTTTTTAAAGATCTCGCAATTGTTGTCTTTTTTCTCAATTTCACAGTATAGCTTAAAATATAACAAGTGACTGATCATATGAAGTTCTCACCTCTTTTTTTGTAGTTTATACCAAAGTGACTAATCACACTAAGTTCTTATTATTTAAGTTTTGTTTACAAATGACTTTTTATGAAGTAGAAACTTCTCACTATGTGCTTCTTCTGTCTGTAGCTTCATAGTATAGTTTAAACTGCCAGAAGTAAC